TGTTATTTGCTTAAAGCTTCAAGGGAAAAGGACGTGTGTGGAGTGTAGTGTGCCACGTGTCCTTCTCTAAAAAGAATGAAATAAAAGAGCTCTCTTCACAAGAATGAAAGCAGCGATTCCCATGTATACATAGTTTCCCAGTCTCTTCACGCCCAGCGGTCCATTGCGATAGGAAAAAGCTTCAGCAACGGATACCGGCAATCCCAGCGACGGATGGCGAGAAATTCCAGCAGACCCAGTATTAAATCGTGTAGGCACACCTCCAAGCTCCAGTAAGTACTGTTGACAGCAAAGAAAAAAAACTCGACAAACAGGAAGGAACTCCGGTAAGCTGCAACGACGGTGGTGCGACGATCCACTTCCGGCAACGCTAATCTCCAGCTACACCCATCAGCCGGCTCCGGTTAACTTCCAGTAGACGTAGCAGCTCCGGTAGTCTCTGGTGAGTTGTGACTTTTGCGATCCTCCGGCAGCAGCGTTGGTGGGTGAGCGGCAACTTCTGCAAAAACAAAAAAATCTCCGGCGGGCAATTCCGGCGACCCTCCAGCAGCGGCGATCTCCGGCGACCTGCAAAAGACAAAAACAGAGCTCTGCGATAACCCTCCAGCCGCGGCGATCTCCGGCGACCTGCAACAAACAGAAACAGAGCCCAGCGATGAATCTTCCAACAACGTCGTTCTCCGGTGAAAGGCTGAGCGGTGTCATCCTTGAGCGGTTTCGATGGCTTTAATGACGAAGAATGGATTCCGGCTCCCATCTACCTCCGGCAATCTCAACAACCTGGTGATCTCCGGTGACTTCTGCAAAAAAAAAAAAAAAAAAAAATCCGGCGAAAGATTTCACGATGCTTGTTGTTCCATGAGATTGACAAGTTTCCTTGAGGCGGTTCAACGGCGGCTGTCCTACGAGATGGGCAACTATCCTTTCATGGTGCACGGTTGTTTCTGGCATTCCCCTCTTCTTGTTCCTGTAAATAAAAAATGCATATAGGGAAGATGAAATATAAGGTTTTACCCGATTAGATAGTCGGACCTTGGATTGCTCCTCCTCGCTTCTCTGTTTGTGATGTTGGTGTGAGTTTATAAGTGTGATGAGGCTCTTATTTATAGTTCATCGTAAGGGAGTTGTGATTGGAGTTGGATTCTACAATCAGATACAATTTTCCAACAATATGAGTCAGTTACTCAGTTATACTGCTGAAATCATGGTGTTAGCTTGGCTTGAGTTAGAATTCACGTGCACACCGTGACTTTGAACTTGACTTGAGTTTGTTGATGGGCTTAGAATTTTAAATTGGTCAATGGACGTTGTATAGCTTCTTACCTTTGGGATCATGGAGTGTTGCTACACCAACTTCATCCTAAAATAATTTTGGGCTCAATGAATATGTTTGGGCCCATGTAATGCACTATTTTGGCTCATAGAATATTCAAGTTTATAGTCGGGCTCATTTTGTGGCAATTTAATCTTTTGATTTGTATTCGCGAAATATCCGCACATACATTTGGGCCCGTGGAGATAGATGCACCACGATGAATTTAAAGGACCGTTTTGTTAAGTTTCAAGACTTCCTCGCTCCAAGCACATTAAGCGACATGTCCCGGCAAGTCTCGAGGGGGCAATTTGTAGACACAGAAAATTTGAACCCAACAAATGGACTGATAAATGGTTATTGGACCGACATCGGGATTGATTATTGGGCCAATTTAATTAATTGGATCATATAAATTAATTTAATTTAATTAGCCCAATTAGATTTGATTTGGGCCATTGAATTAATTAATTAACTGGTCCAAGCCCATTTTATATTTGAATTTGAATTATAAATTATAATTATAATTTAAATATAATATTAATTTTATTATATTTGAATTAGATAATTATAATTTAATTTGAATTTGAATTAGATTATACAATAATGAACCTGGACTTGATCTTGGGCAAGGTTCATTTTCCTAATTAGTTAATTAATTAATTAGTTAACTAAAAAGGGGAGTTGGTTGAGGAATTTTAGTTAAGCTTTTGGTATAAATAGAGCCTTCATTTCATTCCAAAAGACACTTGAAAGTTTGAAGAACTTGAATGCTTAGAGCTTGAAGGCATTGCACAACTTGAAGAGTTAAGGAGTTGAGAGCATTTGAAGAACGCTTGAAGGCTTGGAGGCATCTTTTGAATATTTTGCAGGCAATTTGAATCCATTGCAGGTACTTTGGAGCTTTGCAGAATTGAGTGTCTCGAAGATCTTGAAGTCTTCTGAAGGCATTTGAGGACCTTAAGGCGGCTTGAATCCATTGCATGTGTTTTTGAAATTTTGCAGGATTGATTACTTCTAAATCCTTGATGCTCGTTGTTGGGAGTCACGCCAATTAAATCCCGGAGGCACGCGCCACTTAAATCCCGGAGGCTACGCTACTTGAATCCCGGACGCACTTCCATAGATAACGTCAGTGAAGAATCAGAGGACTAGACAGAGATTTTGTACCTACATTGAATTATACACACGCTGTACACGGAATTTTGTGAATATATACAAAGTTTACTTTTTGTGTTTACAGTCTCATGTTCTTCGAGTTCTCTGATCTTATGTGGATTAATACAAGTTTATTGCCGACTCCAGCAACAATAGTCACCCTACCACTGACGACATCGTCGAGAAGGGAACTTCGGCCGTCAACAAGGTTTCGTCGACGACGGCCTTATCGGAGGAGGGTTGGAGGTCCAGGGAGAGCTTGATGGACTGGGCAACGAGGGAGGGGAAGAGGAAGAAGTTAAAGGAGAGGATCTCAAAGACGATGAGCATCTTGGCGGTGTTGGCTCGCGGCGGGCACTCCGCACTCATACAATTTTGGAATTATTCGATTCTTAATTTTTACAAATCCTAATAGTATTTGATTTAATGTCTAAACAAATTTAGAAAGTAAAGAACTATTGGATTTCGACTCTAATATTTAATTTAGACTTTTAAAAAAATATTAAAACAAGTCCCCATAGCTTAAAAACAATTTAATCAACCATCAATTTAGTGAACACCACAATACCTTACGAATTATAACTTCTTCAAGTTCATACTGATAGACTAACCTCCGTTGAGAGAAACTTCCTCTAAATTTGAAAAGATTAATACTGACAGGCATTCATGCAATGGATCTGATCTGCAAGTTGTGGTGGTGTGATTTTGAAGACAATGATCATTAATTTCAAAGTCCGAGAATCTTTTTGCCCGTTTAATTTCAATGATCTTTCTCAATATCTTAAACAATGTTTTTTGTATTTGAGCATCTATACAGAACATCATTTGATTAAGCACATTACTTTTATTTATAGTGGACAATGGAAGGCTTTGTGGTGTGGAGCAAAGAGGAAAAGCCAGGAGTTAAAAGAGAGACTTCTTTAGAAATTGTTCGGGAAAAAATACAAAATTATTTGATTGAGCACATTACCTGACTTTTAATTAGTTACAACAAATGTGTAATTTGAGTTATAAATTCTTTAAGATTATTTTTTGTAATGGAAATTTTCTATGTTTATTATATTTAGTAATTATATTCTATCATTCTAGCTTTTTGGATTACAAGCTAAGGACTATTAAAATTATTCATTATATTATGCATTATCCAATTAACTCAATAAAATAATTACTTTATCTTTATTTGATTTGATTTTATTTCTTTGCAGATATTTCATACAAATGTAACTCAATGTATGGAATGTGATTTACAAGTTATTAAGAAAGTTTATAAGGAGTCTTTACTTCTCTTTTAATTTATTTTCTCAAAGGACAATGCTCAAAATAAGTGTAGGGAAGGAATTACTATTTCAAATTATTTATTACTCTTGTGGTTTTAAAAAATAATAATAAACATTAGAAACTTGTAGAAAAATTTAAAATTTTATGTACTTTTCAAATGTCAAAATATATTTTACTTATAAAAATAAGTATGAATTTGAATTTTTACCCACTGAGTCTTTAAATAGCCTATGATGAATATAACTATATTTAAGCTTTTGTTATCTCTTAATGTATATATTACATGTGGCTAGTTATTAATTTTTATTTGTTTTAATCTTTATTTTTGAATACTTATGTTTAAGCACAACCGAAAAAATCAAAATAACATAATTTAAATTCACAAATAGCCTGCTTATATGTTCTTTACAATTTCTTTGGTTGTCCTTATACATGTTTCACTTTATATATACATTTTACGTAGTATCTATTCTATGTTCAAATGTATGTTGTTGTATAGACCAGAAGTACACTGAGCTTTTGAACCGAAAGCTGCCGCTCCTCACGTTCCATGCAAACCATTCAGCAAAACGGCTGCAAAGACCATGATCAAGTGCGCCTAGAAAGGAAGACATTCCAAACTTGAACCGCCTTTGGGCATGAGTGCAAGAGGTGGTTTAATTTAAATCATCCACCTTGTAAACGACATATTATTACAAAACTCTAATATATTAAAATCTTTTAAATGATACTGATATTAATTTTATATTTTTAATTAGCCTACAATTATAATTATAGTTTAACTAAAAAATAAAAAATAAAAATCAATATGCCTGGTTTTTTGTGGTTAAATAAAAAAAATCTTATTTAAAATTTTTAATGATATATTTGTATGCTTTTAATTTTATTTTTACAAAAAAAAAAATAGAAAAATGATGAATTTAGGGAGAAAAATAGTAATTTGTTAAAAGTTTATGAGTTGTTTTATAATCCTAATAAACTTAAACCATTTAAAAGTCTGAATTAAATATTAGAGTCCAAATCGAATAGTTTTTTTACTTTTTAAATTTATTTTGAAGTTTAAATCAACTACTATTAGGATTTGTAAAAATTAGAAACGAATAATTCTAAAATTGTACGTACTAAAGTTTATAAAAGTTTGAATATCATACGCCGGTAATAAAGACTGTATAACCTGTATTTACTGTTTCCTTAGCTTTCATCTTCAAGAACCCAAAATTCTCAAATTTAATAATCCCTTGCTTTTCTGTGTATGGAGTTGATTCCTGGTCTTCCGGACGACGTAGCTCTGGAATGTCTTCTTCGGATTTCGTTTGATCAGTTTCCCAAAGCTGCATCTGTCTGTAGAGCATGGAACGGTGTGATTAAGCAGCCGGAGTTCTTCCGGCGCCGGAAAGCTTCCGGTCTAACCCGACCTGTCATTGCCATGGCTCAGTCCAATAATGGTTTATCCGGGAATCTACCGGACCGGCTCACGCTTTTCGAGCCGGTAAAAGGGCGTTGTTACGATGTTCCGCCGATACCGGAGATGGTGGCAGGGATGCCGAATTTCTGTCGCGTCGTCGGGATTGGGCCGGAGCTGGCGGTGATAGGCGGGTGTGATTTGCGGACAGGGCGGTTTCTGAATTCTGTTTTCATCTACAATTTCTTATCCGCCAGGTGGAGGCGCGGGGCCGATATGCCAGGCAAGGGACGCCTGTTCTTCGGATGCGCGGCGTCGGAGGAGGAGGGGACGGTGGTGGTCGCTGGCGGACTTGGCTTGGGCAACATCTCGCTAAAATCCACGTTGGCGTATGACGTGGCGAGGGACAGGTGGATGCCGTTGCCGGACATGTCATACCGGCGACACAAGTGCACGTGCATCTTCCACCGTGGCAAGTTCCACGTTGTCGGCAGCTACGAGGTGGAGGCCCGTCAAACTACCGAAACACTCGACCTTGTCACCCGCCAATGGCGCCTAGGTGACAGAATCTCAGAAGTGGCGGCCTTATCGCGTGAGACAACTTACCTAGAAATTGTGGGGTAATATACATAGTCAGTGCAAGTAAAGACGTGATTGCATTAGAGGACGGCACATGGGTGGTCATCGCGAGAGTCCCGCTACGCCACGTGGCACATGTGACAGGGTGGCAGGGGAAGATGATGGTGATTGGAAGGGTAGAATATAATAGAACTCGGAGACGACGGAGAGCTTATGTGCTGGAGATGAAGAGTAAGAAATGGACCAAAGTAGAAATTTCAAGTGATTATTGCGAACATGTTCAGTGTTGTTGTATAGACCTCTAAAAGGAATACTGAAACCTCAGATCCATCATTTGTTCTTTTGAAACACTTGTGATTATTTACGAAATAGTATCTATTCTATACTTTGATAATTTTCTTTTTCGGCTTAAAGAATCAATGAATTGATCATCATCTTTTTTTAGTACATTCATCTTAGATGATTGAGGTTAAATATTTCACATAATGGGAATACGTATGATACATTTGAATTGCTTTACTTCACTGTCTATACATCCACTTTGAACTTTCTGGATATTGGTATTTATGTGGATATATTTATAATAGCTCCAAATTTGCTGTTATTTGATGAATCTGAGTTCATCTGCTTAGTAAAGTAGCAATCTTTTTACCCCTAACTTTTTCAGTTGGTGGTAGTTCATAATTACAAGCTTGAGGATTGACTTGTAGGAGACTTGCAAAAGGTGTTGCTCTTATAAATGGAGGGCCAGCCTCTTTCAGGTTATGCACAATTATACAATTACAGTCTTGAAAATACATAACATATGGTGAAGATTATTGTAAAGTTTCACACATTCCTGAGGACTATTGTACATATTGGAAAGATGGGTTCTGGGAGGTGAATTCACTTGAAGAGAAGCTCGGGAGCAACACCTCTCGAGGGCCTGGAACTGCTGCTGCTGCTAAGATCACTGGGCGGTGCAACGCACTCTAGTCTCCAACTTTTCGGGATGATTATCATGCTGCATTGCAGCTCCTAATCCTGAGTTTTATACTTGTATAGTAAATATGCTTGGCATTTTGTTGTGCTCATTTTTCAGTTGTATTTTAAAAGATTGTGCTATTTGCTGTTCTCTAAGAATGTATGGTATATTGGAAATGCAGTATGGCTTTACTAGAATTTTGAATGTTTTGGATCTTGAGTTTCTTGAGTCACTGATGCACTGTATAATCATTATAAGGGCATCATGTTCTCCCCTTATATTTCCTATTTTGCGGGCAATCTCCTCTACATAATCTATAATCTCTCATCTTATTTTCTCTCCGACCATTCTCTCTTTTTAACATTTTGAGGCTGATTCGATGTAATTTCTTCTTTTCATTTTTTAAAAATAATGATAAAAGGTGTGAACATCATCACACCTTCAGAATTTAATGAATTATGTTATTAGGGAGATAAATTTCTCTCCGGAGCAACATGCTCCTCTGAGTTCTCTCCCTTCCCACCAATAATCTTCTTTCTTTTTCCTCCTATAGAGATGCCCTAAAAGAGTTATTTATTTGTATATTGTGATTTTTCATTTTCTACTTTTTTTTTTCAATTTCCAATTTTTTAGTTTTCTGATTTGATTTTACAAATTTAATTTTTAGAGTTAATTTCATTTCAAAGCAGTGAAGATGGAATATTAACTTACTTAGCATCCTCAATAAGGAAATCTATAAGCCCTGTTTGTTTTCCATATGACATTGTGCAAGTAGAGGGTGTATCTCCACAACCCACGCGTCCAATACCTTGAAGGCAAAGGTATCAGTTCTAAAAGATCCAAACAAGACACCAAAGATCAGATCAAATATCAATTTATTTAATGATACAAATTCTTTGTTGCAACACCACAATATCATCTAGTTTGTTTCATAATCTTTGTGTATCCACAGTAATAGATGTTCAAAGTTAAAGTGGTCATACAAAATCTTTGTGAAAAGAAAGGAAAAATAAAAAGGCTTGGCAAAACAAAGGTAAGTTGATGATGGGGATATGGGACCCTGGGGTCCATTTTATTGAGAAAGTTTTGGCCCAATCGCTAAGCGGAGTGTCTATCTTTATGAGTGAGGTGGGTCCGGGGTGTCCATTTTTATGGGTGAGTTGTTGACCCAATAAGAATAATGAAATTCTGTTGAGCTAAGGAAAGAAGGAAGCTTGTAACAAAATATTGTTAAATTATTACTAGGGGGACAACACAAGTCCCAAACCACCAAGCCAATCAAGATCTTATGTACTAAAGGGCAGGAAGCTCCACTTATGCACGAGAGTGCGCTGGAAGTAAGGTAGTGGAGGGACACATGTGTGCTCTAGAATGAAGGCTGTCAAATGCCATCCATCTGTCAACCATCCGTGAACCCTCAACAGTATAAATAAGCATCATTCCCTCTCTTTTAAATGCACCCTTTAGCTCACCAATCCCCTTTTGATTCGTTGGTGTGAGTCTTTGACCCCCTGTTGGCACACCAGAGTTTGAATCTTATTGGTAACATATTTAGTTCTACTTAATTTATTAATTCCCTTGGCTTGTTTAGTCACTATTTTGGGTCTTATTCCATTCCTTGAGCCGTAATCTTTGTATTTAGACCGCCATTCTAAGCTTGTGCCTCGAACTTTTTCATTATTTTGGGCCTTATCAAGTTCATAACCTCTCAATCCAGCATATGTTTTCTACCCTAATGAACCCTTTTAGACAGGCTTGACTAGATCTTCCAGCAATGGAAAAGGCAAACCCCCTTTAGACAAGGTTGACTAGATCTTCCAGTAATGGTAAAGGCAAGTGCATTATCACTAATGTCTTTTCATACCCGTCTGCTCAACCTAAGGATCTCAACTTTGGGACGGGCAATTTCAAGTCCATGAGCATTTTCAGACCCAACATCCACAATATTTAACACCTTGTAGTCATTCCAAAAAGGATCGAACGCAAACCCAAACGAGAATATCACATATACACAAAAATTTACAAACCTAGTTGTCTACTCGTGGTGTCCAAGCTTTCGTTTTAGGGGATGGTAACCCAATATTAGATTATAACATGATATCAGAGTATGTTTGGTTCACTTTGTGTTCACCCAATTGCGTACTCGTGGTATTAGTGGCGTTTTATAAGCTTTCGTTTCATGGATTGGGTAACCAATCATAAATTATAACATGTTATCACTTTTGTTTCAAGGGAGGGTAGTCCAATCTTAGACTCTGAACATTCAATATGTAAATTGTGAACATTCAATATGTAAATTGTGAGCATTCAGTATGCAAAATTGTGAATATTCAGTATGTAAAATTGTGAACATTCAGTATGTAAAATTGTGAATTTTCAGTTGTGAACATCCAGCAGGTAGATTGTAAACATTCAATATATAAATCGTGTATTTTTAGACCTGAATCCACCTTGCAAGATGAATCCGGATCCACGGAATAATTTGTCTCCAATATACCAAATTGCAATTTCACAAATTCTACCGTGCTCAATTCTTCAAAAAACAATGTAGCCCAAACGGTAAATTCTTTGAGCCCAAAATGATAATCCATCAGCCATGTTCCATACAATAATCGCCGGTTGCAAAAACTAACGTTTTTTGACTAAAACGCGCCTCCCACTTAAAAAAAAAATAATTCAGGTTCGATTTCTGACAATAACATTTTTGTGTGCATAATTTGAATTATATATCCACAAATTCATAACTATATATCCACAGTGAATAAATAACACAAAATCCAGAATGAATGAACTAAATATTCACAATGAATGAACTAAATATCCACAATGATTAAATTAAATATACACAATGAATGAACTGAATATCCACGATGAATGAACAACATAATGTTGTTGAGTGGAATTGAAACTGATTTTTTTTTAAAAAAAAAATGGGACGCGCGTTTTTAGTCGAAACGACGTCGTTTTGCAACTGTGTGCACCATGCACAGCATAACTATTGTACAATAATTTGCCTATTTTCATGCAACGCAAATTTCAAACAGAGATAGATTAGTTTAAGAGCATCTACATCAGGGGAGAAATGGGGGAGAATTCACTACTTTTGAGGCTAAAATGCCATGGTGGCAGAGAGAGAATCAAGAGAGAGAAGGGGTGGGGAGCATCTGCAAATGTTGGAATATTACTCCGCCCAAGAAAAAAAATTAATGATGGAGGAAAGAGAACCAATAGAGAAATGACATGTTTATTTTTTATATATTTTTTTTATAAAATCAGTTTTGACATTTTTTTTCCCTCTCCTCTCACATTATTCTCTTTCCTACCCACTATTACGTTCTCTCCCTAGGGATCTCAAACTGATATAGATGCTCTAAGTTCAATAATAAAAGCATATCAGATTCCCATGAATGAATATTGAGAACTTTTTATTGCCCCAACATGCATCATCATAAATTCAAATAATAATTCCCAAACACAATTAAATGAGCCGCCACCCTTTACGCAACCCAAAAGAACAACCGGCAAAAATGGCCATTTCTAGAAAATTTCCGACGTGAACAGCCATCAACCATCATCTATATTTATTAGAGTCCACCTGCCAATTACCTAATCGGCCTGTGAAGACTCTGAGCGACGTGGTGCCAGCCGGGATTTCTCCTCGGAACAGGTTCGATGCGACTTCCGAGCTTAACAAGATCAAGGAGACCCTCGCCGTTCACAAATTCCCTCTTGATGAGTACACCCCCATTGCTATCCGTGCGATCCCTATGCCCGTTGACAAGTACCTCCAGAAGGTACGTATCTTTACTGCAGTTGAGGATGAACTCCGGCGATCGGTTATGATGCAATGTGGAGTCAGGCGTGGCTTCTTCCGTGAGGCCCGCAACATTGTGCCGGCCACCTTTCTCAATTTCTGCAACTATCTAAGGTCACCCCTGGGTCAGCAGGATGTTCGTGACGGTCACAACCGCCTCAAACTTGAGCAGAAAGCCACGGATAACTGCCGCGCCGAGGATGTCGCGTTGCTGGCTCTTTTCAACCACCAAAGATTCGATCTGGCCCAATATCAGATGGCTATCCGCGCCGAATGGGAAAAGAAGAGAGCGGAGCTCCTTGAGAAATTGCGCGCTCTTGATGATAAGTACAAGCGCAAGCTGGCCCGTAAGAAGCGCAAGTACCAACCCGCTGGGCAATACCAGGAGCCATCAGAGGTGGAGCTCATGCGTGAGTGCTGGAGCTACTACACCACTCACTGTGTCAACCGCGGCGTCGCCGCTCCTCAGCGAACCGATGAGGAGCTAAACTTCGCCTTCAGCTCTTTCTCTGCCATGGTCAAAGAGGACCACATCGTTAATTTCATCAGAAAGGACCCCATTAAGAAGATGCTGCAAGATTGGGGCACCAACAAGGTAACAAGAGATTCTAATGGAAGATTATAGAAGATCAACTACGGAAGAAAGCCTTAAGTTAGGGAGTATTGAGTTTTGTTTTGTGTATTGGTTTGCGAACTGAGTGACTTATGAGTCAGCTAAGGTTGTTTAATCTTTGCGTGGTGTGATGGAGTGGCTTGTAATGTAGGGGAAAGATCTTCCTAGTTTAATGACACTAGAGAAACTTACTTGGTCTATTCTTTTAGCAAAAAATGAGCACGGAGGATGCAAATTCTACTATTAAGTTTTGTCATTATTCTTGTGATCTTGTTTCCCATACTTGCTCCTTTTGCAGCATATTGATGCCTGTGGCATTTGATCGATTTGAGATCACACATGTCCCTTTTTTCAATTTTCACACTTTACAGATCGTGGAAAGCATGATCTCGAGGTGGGTGAA